CATGGGTTTACATGAACTGAGATTTGGGAATTGATCCAGTTTAGCAGTACTTCCTGCAATAATGATGCATATATATTTTTAAATGACCTTGTCTTCCATAACCTGTGCAACTCAGATTCTGAGGACTGGCTATACTCATTTACTCTGGAACAGTTACTCCCCCCTGTACATGGTAAATCATTGGTCAGCCTGGCCTAATGTGATCTGCAAGTCACCATTAATGAATGTACATGTAGTTCTAAAAATAAGATATTCCACAGTTTGTACTCAGAAATGGTTAAATTAAGAGAGGCACCTCTAAATTGTGAATAACTTATTGTCAAAATGATGAGTGACACTCATTGTAAATACATTATTGTCATAATTAAGAGACAGTGTAAATACCTTATTGTCACAATTAAGAGAGACACCTCTACAGTGTAAATACCTTATTGTCACAATTAAGAGAGACACCTCTACAGTGTAAATACCTTATTGACACAATTAAGAGAGACACCTCTACAGGGTAACTTCCTTATTGTCACAATTAAGAGAGACACCTCTACAGTGTAAATACCTTATTGTCACAATTAAGAGAGACACCTCTACAGTGTAACTTCCTTATTGTCACAATTAAGAGTGACACCTCTACAGGGTAACTTCCTTATTGTCACAATTAAGAGTGACACCTCTATAGTGTAAATACCTTATTGTCACAATTAAGAGTGACACCTCTACAGTGTAAATACCGTATTGTCATAATTAAGAGAGACACCTTTACAGTGTAAATACCTTATTGTCATTATGAAGAGAGACACCACTACAGTATAAATACCTTATTGTCACAATTAAGAGAGACACCTCTACAGTTTTAATACCGTATTGTCATAATTAAGAGAGACACCTTTACAGTGTAATTACCTTATTGTCATTATGAAGAGAGACACCACTATAGTATAAATACCTTATTGTCACAATTAAGAGAGACACCTCTACAGTACTGTAAATCTTTTTTTACAAAATCCTTCTATTACTTTTTCAGCTATAGCAAAAATCGTAAAATAACACACATAAAAATGGCCACCATTTTCAAAAAGGTCGCTCACTAGCCAAGTTGTCATATGAGAGTGTAATATGCTTCTTAGTAGTCACATATAAAATTTCAACAAAATCGCACACATGTACATGTACAACATGTAAATGGCGGCCATATTTCAAAATGGCCACCTACTAGCCACTACTTTTCAAGTTATAGCAAAAATCGTAAACTAGCGTGTAAAACCCACCATTTTTCAAGATGGCTGCCATGTGTTTCTCTAATATCTACATTTCTAGCTTTATTAATCTCCTACATAGTCTCTCTTGAAAAAATAAATCTTCAAGATTTGCAAAAATTAGCTACTCCCCCTCTGTTCATTTTCTCCAATCACCAGGCATGAAATAATTACAAAAGTGTTATATAACAGATGCCAAACTATGGTCATAGAGTCCATTTCACTGTTTAACTGCGTCAGTAAAAACTAAAAAAATAAGAAATCAAAATATCATTTTGCAATAATATATGGAAAAATATATTCCTATTGTACATGGATGACATTTGTATATCTTGGATTGGTTCTAGTTTGGCTTGTAAAGTGTGTGGCCTCTTATATTTGGATGCTTCTCTGCCATGTTATTTTCAATAAGATTAACATGGCTGAAATTCTTCAAATTACAAGACTGCACAGGCCTATTGCACAAAAAAACAAAAAATCTGAAATATACAAATGCCATTCATGTACATTATGAATATACTTTTCCATATATTATTGCACAATGGTCTCCCAATTTCTTATTTTTGCCGTTCTACTAACGCAATGAAGCAGTGAGATTACTATGAATATTTGTTATTGACATTAATGACATTTCCCCTTTCTTATTTGTCTGTGGGAGTATTAATTAGGGGTGGGAGATGTTGAAATAATTCTGGTTGAGTTTGATTCAGGTTGGAGGAATGATGATTCGGGTTACGACTCCAATTCAGGTTGAGTGAAAATAATTTTTATAATGGTAGAGAAAAATCTAACTGAGTTAAGTGGAAGCCATAATAATCCTAAATGGGTACTCTTAGAGTCTTTGTTTGGTTCTTCAATGGTATTGACTTTGACATACTAAGCAAGAAATATAAACTAAGAATTATGAACTAACTAACAGCTACACTATTGGTGAATGTACTAACATGTTTCAATTTTTTCAAACTTAATAAATCATGTAACAGGGATACTGAGTTTTATTTTCTTATCGATATTTTACAAATAAATCAGATCAACAATACAGTATTCTTTGGGTCATCATCCACCCCGAATATTAATTTTGATCAACACCAGTAAATTTGATGACTAATATATCTGGTTGAAATATTTGTTATTCATAATTTCATGTTAATATATGTGAATCTTATAAGAATGTTTATGTCAGATCTGATTAAATTAAAAAAATATGTTCTTGAAAATAACATGTCAGTTAAACTAGTGCGGGCATTGACACAGCCAACTACCCAGTGTGGCATGTAATGAACCACTACAGCCTGTTAAAGGAAGAGGTGCATTAATTGGCAAATACCCCCTTGGTCAAAATGAATCATTCTTAGGTGTAACATGATGAATAAGGATGTCATATGATTCTTTGGAAAATATTTAAGTGCTTGGGCACACATTGGCTGAGATAGGGGTCATTTAGTTCAGCAAGATTGTGTTGACTTATATGGAGCTGTACACATCAGATCCCAATAGAGGCCATTGGTTTCCATTGATTATCACAAAAATAACAAAAATACACAATGACCTGAATCAATTGCAAACTTAATAATTTCACAATATGACAAAAATGGTTTACCTCATCAAATGTGCAAATTTGAAGTTTGCAGTCGATTCAGGTCATACTTTAAATTAAAAGATGGTACATTTTTTCATCATTTTTTTCCCTACAAAATGGCTATAGAAAAATGCTTCAAAAACAACTTTTACACTATATCAAATATCATACAACTTTGTAAAACCAAAGATTATACTATTATATTTCATTAGTTAGTAACATATTTGGATAAGATGTAAGGATGTGTGGGATGCAAATGGATTTTGATAGACACAAAAATACTTCCTGGTTTGGAATCACTTCACTTCACCTCTACACTTCATGAATTGAATTATGACCCTAATATGTGGCCTATTCATCAATACAGTGTTGAATATGGGTCAACAAGATACTAGTGTGCACTACTTCCTTTACTTCATAGACACCAGTTGAACCTAAAAAAATAATAAAGAAATAGAAAGATCATTGTGCAATAATATCTGGAAAAACATATTTATACTGTACTATACATGAATGACATTTGTATATCTTGGATTGCTTCTAAATTGGCTTATAAAGTCTGTAGCCTCTTATATTTTGATGCTTTTCTGCCATGTTAATTCTGAAAAATCTGAAAAAATTAACATGGCTGATAGACCTCAAATTATAAGAGGACAAATGCTTATTGCACTAAAAACTATATAATCTGAAATATACAAATGTCGATTGCGCAATGGTCTTTAGATTTCTTATTTTTTAGGTTGAACTGGTGACTATGAAGTAAGGATTAGTATCGATATGGTGAACTGAATTCAACAATGTTTTTCTCTTTAACCAATTATTGAAAACATTCTGTAAAAAAACACGGTCCTGTATGTAATTTTGACTGATTGACAACAATTTAATGTGAACATTATTTATATTTATCGTATGATCTGTAAAATGAAGCCTTCTGATTGTTCAGTTCTTGTGCTGTACCAAACTGTATTGCTACTGAGGTTGTCTCCGTCGTAATATTGGTACGGAGGGGACATTCTCAGTAGCAATACAGAGAATCAGACGATAAAAATGTTAGAGAATGATTTGAAGTGCAATACAGGATATATTCTGCTCTCGATATTCTGTATTGGCACTCGACTCCGTCTCTTTCCAATACAGAATTCCTCAAGCAGAATATATCCTCCATTGCACTTCAAATCATTCAATAACTTATAATATTTTACATAACTGTTTTTGTTAACATTTTTTGTTTTAGAGCAATTTTTTCTCCTTTTTACCAATTCTTGAGAATGAAATAAAATATCTTTCCAGAACAAAATAGCATATACAACATTTTGAAATTTTGGTTGATTAAACAAAAAGTATTCAAAAAATTAAAACAAAAACCCAAAATATAGGGTTATACCTTATTGTCACAATGAAGAGAGACACGTCTACAGTGAAAATAACTTATTGTCAATCAAGAGAGACACATCTACAGTGTAAATACCTTATTGTAAATATCTTACTCTAGACATATCTAGAGTATAGATACCTTTTTGTAAAAATTAAGAGACACAACTACATTGTAAATACCTTATTGTCACAATTAGAGAAACACATCTACAGTGTAAATACCTTACTGACACAATTAAGAGAGACACGTCTACAGTGTGAATACCTTAATGCCACAATTATAGAGACACATATACAGTGTAAATACCTTACTGACACAATTAAGAGAGACACATCTACAGTGTAAATAACTTATTGTCACGATTAAGAGAGACACAGCTACAGTGTAAATACCTTATTGTAAATATCTTACTTTAGACAAATCTAGAGTATAAATACCTTATTGTCACAATTAAAAGACACAACTACATTGTAAATACCTTATTGTCACAATTAAGAGAGACACATCTACATTGTAAATACCTTATTGTCACAATTAAGAGAGACACAGCTACATTGTAAATACCTTATTGTCACAATTAAGAGAGACACATCTACATTGTAAATACCTTATTGTCGCAATTAAGATATTGTCACAATATTAAAAGACACAACTACATTGTAAATACCTTATTGTATAATTAAGAGAGACACATCTACATTGTAAATACCTTATTGTCACAATTAAAAGAGACACAGCTACATTGTAATTACCTTATTGTCAAAATCAAGAGACACAACTACATTGTAAATACCTTATTGTCACAATTGAGAGAGACACTTTGTATTGGCAGGAGGACATCAGTGAGAAACTGTGCATGTTCATGTTGCATCATGTCACTGCAATCACTGCACACATACAGTGGAGGACCCTTATCACTCATCTGTATGGTTAATGCAGGGTCAAGGCAAGTCTGAAATTAGTAATATTATTCATCATTAAATGTAAATAAATTTTTAAATGTTAATGTATTCCTATTCATATTGTCTAAAATTGCCGCTAATGTTTTTTATAAAACTTTGGCAATCGATTGTATGTCTATTATTGTTAACTAAAGGAATAAATTTATGTATAAAAAAAAAAATTAAATGTTCATTGATCAATTGTAGTTGAGTTGTATCAAGTAAAATTGTCATTACGTATTGTCAAATTAGTCATTACAGGCTAGCTACTTAATGACATATGAAACCTTATATATGCGCTGAATTCATTACCAACTCTTGGGAGGAGACAGTTCACATTTTGAATAAAAATATAGCTGAACATTTAGCAGAAAACCTAGTTTTTTCACCAAAAGCCCCATTTCCAGAAATCCAAATATTCTCATGAATTAGATAAAAGAGAATTAAAGCAAATCTCTTGTGAAAGATTTATTTAATTTGAAACATTACATCTATGAAGTTGCTATACTTTCACTTATTCATACAAGTATCATACCTTCACTGCAGGTACATTGCCAGAGTTTGGACAGATCAATTTCTGACAGCAGATTGGAAGACAAGCTGCAAAACATGAACATACAGTTATATCCAGTCTACAGTGTACAACTGAAACAATATAGCTTCAGATTTAAAGAACTAAGAATCTATGCTTGATCTAAGATATATGTATCTGGCAAACAAATGAGAAATTTAGATGTGTGTAGTATTGACATTTCAAAGCTTGGGTAGAATGAATGATGCAATTACATACAAATCAATAGGTGAATGTACAGGCACATTTGATAAGTGGAGGCAACTTTAATAATAATTTCATTAACACACATGAAATCTGATTAAATACACCAACTAAAAAAAAACAAATATTTGATTTAACTGAACTACAGTAAAGGATAAAATATTATATAAACTAATTATTTAAAATGATGTATTTACCCCCACCACTACTATTTACCATATATCTGTTTTTACCACCCCCACAAACAAGAAATGATAATACCAAACATCATATTATGAAACTGATTTTAAGTGAGCTTATGTCATGCAAATAAAGTTATATAAGTGGTACCCAATAACCTTGAGGGACAAAGACAAATCACTATAAAAGTATAGCTCATTTTAAACTCTCAAGTCATTCCCTTTCTGCTTAAGGCAATCTGAATCCTTGCAATATCTGAATCTTAGCAATATCTGAATCCTTACAATATCTGAATCTTAGCATTATCCTTATTGATAACATTAATTAATCCTTTAATTAATGATTTCATCATCTTCAAAAGAAAGAGGTGATCCTAGAAGATATATTCATCAGTAATACATTTTAGGTGCATGCTGGGGAGAGACTTAGAGTTCTGGTGAGATGCTATATATGAGGGGTGATCAATAAGTAATGGACGCTCACAGACCAATAGATGAGATGCGAGTAGAAATAATCTTGATTTACGTCATTGAATATTCAAAATTCAGTCAAAGTGATGTCATATTTGAAATCCACATGTAAAAGTACATCTGGAAATATGGTTTCGAAAATTGTTTATCAACTTTGAAAATTTAATTTTTTTGAAAATGTGATTTCTAGTTCAGGGAGATTCCCCATAGACCCCATGTTACAAAATCACAAAGTGAAAAGTGAAATATCTTTTCTTGTATTGGACAGATAACATTTTCTTTAACTAAACATATTTTAATTTGCATAACTATTAGATACATAAGGGTGATATGAAAATTGAACCACTAAAACAGATGTAATTTAAGTTAAAGGGAACTTTCTACTATACCCGCCATGTTATCTGACCCGAACGAGCCACGTGATGGTGAAACTGGTAGCTACCTACTCGCATCTGCGTTATTTCTATGATTTTTCACCAAATCGGTCCATTGAAAGTGTCTGTGTAAAAAACATCCATTTCTTATTGATCACTCCTCGTATATTCTGGGTTTAGCAGTCACCACCTGCCTTACCTTTTTTATGGTTCACATAGAGGTAGATAAGTGACCAACACATATCTATCTGCCATGGTGGACATATTGCACCTTTATGCCCTAATTTTTGAAATAATCATCATCTGACTTCCTCCATTTGTGTTCAATATAAACCATTGACTTGGTGGCTTCATTTCTCTTAATATTTTATATTTCACCATGGCATATTTCTCAAAGAAGTGTTAGCATTGTTCCACCATCCATAGACGCAATTAGACTTTCAATATCAACTATTTCATGGATATGGAGTACAAATCTATACAAAGTTGATGGATCTTTATTTATGCAATAAAATCTTCAGTGTATATTTTAAATTTTTTTTATTAGATGTAACATGCATTATGTTGCTTTGGTGGTAAGTGATCAGCAAAAAGAAATCTATACAAATATTAAGCTTAAGTGAGCTATTCACAAAGTTGAGCTTTGCATATGAAGTGAAGTGAACATGAGTTTTGTATAAAAGTGAGATATTTACAAAAAGTGAGCTATATATAAAGTGAGTTCACAAAAAGTGAACATTGATCAATAGTGAGAATAAAAATGTGAAACGTGTAAAAATTGTGAACCTTGTATGCAGTTGTGCTCTATGTAGCTGTGGTGTTAAACCCTAAATCAAGACCTGTATATGTTAAAAGTGAGTACAATGTGCATGTGTTAAGCTGAATTGTGATCCTATTGTTACCTGTATGGTGGCAAGGCATCTAAAACATGGCACATTTCTGTTAAACATGACACATTTCTGTTAAACATGGCACATTTCTGTTAAACATGGCACATTTCTGTTAAACATGACACATTTCTGTTAAACATGGCACATTTCTGTTAAACATGGCACATTTCTGTTAAACATGACACATTTCTGTTAAACATGACACATTTCTGTTAAACATGGCACATTTCTGTTAAACATGACACATTTCTGTTAAACATGGCACATTTCTGTTAAACATGACACCTTTCTGTTAAACATGACACATTTCTGTTAAACATGGCACATTTGACATTTATTGAAGTAACCTACAATAAAACTGATCTTTACTTAACTTGGAATTGATTTGTCAGTTTAATGTGGGGTCAAGCTGACCTGAGGTTAAGATGACCTTGGAAAGAGTTGATCAATTGACCTGATGTTAAATTGGAAAGAATTCAAGTTGGAGTGATGATGAATGGACCTGAATTTGAGATTACTTTGGAAAACATTGACATGATGTTGACCTATGGATGAGATGATTTGATTGAGGGAAAATGTAAATGTTAATCAAGTTGCAATAACAAAACATGCAATTATGCCATTTCATATCAGCAGTCAATGGTTAATATTAGGAAAATTTCTCATTCATTACATGATAAGGAGTAAACTAGAAATATTTATTTTGCTCCAAAATACTCAAAATACTGATTTGCAAGTTGTAGGTTTTAAAAAAAACTAGAAAAAAAGCTATTAAGTAGCAAATGCCACTGAACAAAACATATTTGTGATGATTTGAAAAAAATGATTTAAAAAATATAAAAATAACACGGCAATAACAGTAGCAACTTGTCTCTTTTTTGCAAGAGCTACACCCACGATGTAATACCAATTAAAAGAGAAATTTCTACTCATATAGAGATCCCATGCCTGTCATGAGGCATCAGCTTAAAGAATTTGGACCAAATCCAAATACTACAAGTTTTTGTACTATCTAGGCTTATATTTGAATATAAGAAATTACACTTTTTCTGAAAACAGTAAAAATTCTTTCTTGGGCAGAGTCCTTTGCCTATGCGGGGTCAGCACATAAAATCTGAACCAAATCTGAGTCATCAAATATTTTATTTCGTTATAGAAATTGAACTTTAATCCGAATTCTGGATATTAGTCTATAAAATCTGAACCAAATCTGAAAACTGTCAATTAGGTCAATAGAAATTATTTTTTCATTCTAAGTGGTGGCTATTTTGAAATTAGTGGCCTTCTTGAGCAGAGGTTCTTTGTATGGCATCATCATTTTAACATTTAAACCAAATTCATTAACTGGTACTTGAGCTAATTTTGGGCATTTTGAATTGAGCAGCCATATTGGAAAATCCCTTCTCAAACAGAGGTCATTTGGCATTAGCCTCTGAAATTTGAGGAAATCAATCAACCTGTTAAACCCTGAACATACAAACAAATGGATTCACTATATCCCTACTCAAACTTTGTTCAGTGGGATAATAAAAGACATATATTTGAAATCAATCTGTTGAGGCCAAACTTTGAACTTTTATGAAAATGAATAATTTATTCAGCCTAAAATATTGGATCCCAGATAACAAGTTAATAATATAAAAAAACAATGAATGTTCTTCAAGGAATTTGCATCTGAAATAATATGATTGAAACAAATCAATTTCATTTGCTTGAAATGATGTGAAACAAACTGATGTTTGCAGATACTATTCATAATAAAAAACGAGATCTCAGAGAAACGTAATAGATAGGTACATGTATATCATTTTATTTCTATTGATGCAACAAGTATTTATTACTCTTTTCATTCTATCATTTTTAATTTAAAAAATGCACAATTTTATGATGTTCTTTCTACCCATATACTTTTCTCTATTACTCCTTATTGTCAACATATTTTCAAATAAAACAAAAATGGTGACATATTTTTAAATATGATGCTACTTATCATGTTAACCCAATTCCAACATGCAACAATTGCTCAAAGAGTTTAGTGAAAACTAGTACAGTAATACCTGAATTTAGTAAACACCTTGTTCTACCTTGTTCTATATTGGTGTTCACTAAAGATAGGGTCTCTGTACAGTTAAGGTACATGGAAAATATATAATTCTTAAAAATGGTTTATCAAAGAGAGGGAGAAAAAGAGAGGTAAATATATTTACAAGATAGAGGTTCACCAAAACAGGTTTTACTGTACATACTAAAGGCTATTCCATTCAAACAATTGGTAGTCTTCTGAGGTAACCAATGAGGAGGTCCAAAAATCATAAAAGACCCGTTTAAAATTCGACTACCAGTAGGATACAAGTTAAATGAAATAGCCAGCTATATATTGAGATATCTTGAAAGTTGGAGGATTTGAGGAAAATCCAGCAAATAATGCCATGTAAAAAAGGGTAGATGCTAAATATCTTACCAAGGATGTTATAACCTACATGTAAAGAAAGCAAAATCTCAATGTGAAATAAAATCAACAATAATACCAGTGATCTCCCCAGGATTTCTCCTCAATAGGTTGCTTCATCTGTGCTGGTCAAACTATCAAAACATTAAAACTTTTGGAACAGTGTGACCAACTTTTCAACAGGATTGAAAGTAACTTTAGATTTTTCAACAATTTGCAGCACCCATTAATCCGATACAAGGGAGATCACTAGACATTGCAATAAAATTCTAAGATAAGCTGGATCCTACAAGCCAATAACATGGAATATACACATGCATAACATGTCCCTTTGTTCAAGATATTTTCATAATGGTCACTCTTTTGAAAAGAAACTCCTGAAATGTTGAATGAATGGGCTGGGTGCCTCGAATTTCTTTCAAGAGTTTCTAAACAGAATTCAGAATGCCGACAATGTTGACACTTCAACATTTCTATCAATTAAAAAAGTGACCATAATAACATTTTATCTTTCATCTCATTTCTTGATAAATTTGTTCAGTTACTTTCCCTTGTCATGACATTCTATTTTATACAATCAGGTGGAATAAATTATAGCAAAATGTACAATTATTTTACTTGAATGCCATCTATTCAATAAGGCGAAATATATCTATAAAGCAAATATACAGGGTGTAAGCTAACACTATAGAGGGAGTCAACTATTGAAACTTAGTAAGATATATTCTTTAAATGATATATGTATGAATAATGATAAAATTCAATAAAAAAATAGACAGAGATGGATGTGAGCATAATTTCATCAGACATGCTTAATTCTAATGCTTTCACTTAAACCATTTCTCCTGAGACCATGTGGATGAACATCATTCCTATGACAAAGTATGTTTTTACTTAATTTCATGTATGTATTTTTGCTGAGGAAAATATTATATATACTGAATCCCTCCTCCATTTCTGAAGCAAAGTAGTACATCAGTAGATACAGTGCATGCATGAATATGTAACTTGTGAATATTATATTAATGATAAACAAATCCAACCTTAATTACACAGAACAGTACTAGTACTTAGAAATCACTTTCACTACAGTGTCAACAACATGTTTGAATCAACTAAGCATGTCTACAGTGAATCTACAAGAATGAAGTGAAAATTGCTTCAGACTTACCATAATACTTGTAATGCACCCCTCGCCTGTCTGTAAGTGTCTTGTTCAATTGGGGCCAGTAGTGGAAGAGGAGATTTACAGCTGGGGCCCTGGATGCTGGAGGGCCATAAGCTATTACACATAACAGGTCCTACAATTTAAAAACATCAATATGGCAAACCTGTATCATGGAAAGGCAAATCTACTATAGCAAACTTAAATTATGAATAGGCAAATCTACCTTATATAGGCAAACTCGAATATGGATATGGAAACCTATACTACCTAATATACAGGAAAACTTACATTTTGGACAGGCAAATCAACCTTATATAAAGATAAAACTATATTACAGATAGGCAAACCTAACTTGCTAGGCAAACTTGCATTATGTAAAGTAAATCTACCGTATACAAAGGCAAACCTACATTACAAATAGGCAAGCCTATAATATATATGGTAAACCTTCATAAGGCATACCTGTACCCTATATATAGGTAAACTTAATTGCATATACAAGCAAACTTACCTTATATAGATATTTCTTCATGCTCATCAAGCTCTCAATAACCTGTGAGTGATAACCTATAATACAAGAGACATATTCAATGTTCATAATGACTGTGTAGAGTCCATCCTTGTTGTTTCTCTAATGTTGCCCATTGAGCACTCTTGATAGAATAAGCAATTATTTTTCTCTAATTCTACTTTTAAAATAAAATCAATAACATGACACATTTGGAAATCAAGTAAATAATTGGCATAATTACAAAAACTGTTGTTCGTGTAAGCTAAATTTGATACTTACATCCATTATCTATGTACTGGAACACCATCATTATAATGGCTGCTGTTGAATCAGTCGCATATGTTGGGTTCTCATTCATATCAGCATAACCTAGAAGCACAGATTAGACGAGTAAGACACTCGATTAAAGCTGGGCAAGAGAGCTTATTCTGATTGGTTGTTACCATTATTTTTTATGATCATTGATTTCTTCTTCTTTGCGGAATTGTGAGAGAAGGGATGAGCTAACAATTGCATCCAAGGGACTTACACTGGAAGATTGGCGATGTACTCATGTAATACACTACACAAGTCCATGCTCTCTTATGCACAAACATTTAGTCCCTACATTAGGGGTCCAGAAAAAATATTTCTCTTTCCAATTTTGATTTGATATAATTACGTGTATTGCCATTTTATATTTTATAATGTAGAAATCTTCATCTGTTACAATCAGCTTGGCATTAAAGAAAGCAGACACAAAATCTTGAAAAACAAGTTGATCTTATAGACAATTCAATATAACATACATGTACTTATAACTTCTCAATGAATACACCTACCTAAAGTCATAGGGAGTATGTTGGTACAGAGCAAGGAGATGGTTTCCTTCTGCAGATTGTGGGGAAATGTGGCCAGGGTAGAAGCCACTGTATAAGGCAATGCATCTAGTAAGTCGTACTCTAGGAATGGCACAAGACATCCAAGCACATGTAAGATGGCCTCGCCTAGTGCTATAATTTAAACACATCAGTTCAGAGGAGTCATTTTGAATCAATTATGATTTTGGATTCTATTTCACCTATGTATCATATTGTACTCTCAGATTAGAACTAACAATGAAACAGTAAACATCATTCTTATCAGATTTAACTAAAAAAGTTCCCTGTGAAACAGGGTTTTGATGAAAGTCAAGTCTTGAATGAGAAATGTTCACTAAGAAATAGACAGATGTGGTATCTAAATGTAAGACATGCTTCACTGTATAAGTTTTTAATAAATCGTAGATGAAAATAAGAAACATAAAGAAAGAATTCAACGTTTGGAATCTTTGAACAGTACTTACGTATGACTCCATATTGCACAGTTGGAACGAGGCCTATGATCTCTAGGACCACCTGGTAGAGACCAGAGTAGTTGAGGTTTGGAAATACTGACAGCCTGACACTATCTCGTTGTCTTGGCCCATAGCTCTCTTGGGGAATACTTGGCACATCCTTTAACACACTGAAAAAAAAGTCTTAATTGTAAATCCTTAGTTGTAATAATCATGTATATGTATAGTTGCAATAATCATGTATTGATTGAATTTCAGAGTTAATTCTATTCATAATATCAACTCACATGCACTTCTAAGATATATAGAGACCATGGTATCTCTGTATTGTATAAGGCTTGGTATACATACCTACTCCCAAGATATACAGACCATGGTGTTTGAACATACCTGAGTAAAGTCTGAGAGAAATACTTCAATGTATTTGCCACATCTATGCCAGATGGCGTTGGTGATAAATTGTTTGTGATCCTATAGTGGTAGTCCTTGAGATTGCGGATCTTGGCATTGACTGAAAGTCATAACATAAAAAGAATCACATCTGGCTTTATGCTTTACAAATGTCTCTGAACTCTAGGGCTTGAAAACTACCTATATACAATTATATTATGATATCCCATGTCAATAATATGTGGGGAAGAATATTCTGATAAAAGTCTCGGGCTTTGTATAAAAAACCTCCTTCCTCATACCCACCTACCCACGTACGTTGGACATGATACAGTCTTTGAAAGGTTCAATTTTAAAGATCTTTGTTTATTAAATCTTAGTTTATGATGAATTATAGATGCATTTGTAATGACCCTTGATAGCAAGTTGCTACTACATCCCAGCTGGGTTCGATTCCCACTCGGAGCATCGAATTATGCACACTTTTCTTTCAATTTCTTTACCTGGCTTGTTGGACCTATGCTCGCGGTCGTTAGTTATTCCCCTTTGGCGCCCTCGGGTCATTACACATTACAATGCACCCATATGCCTTTATTTATGGATTTGTCATCCGTCGAGTCATAAAATAAAGCCGGAATTGTAATGAGAGCTATTTTGAGATTTAAAATCCTTAAAATTGAACCTTTCAACGACTGTATCATGTCCCATGTACATGTAGGTGGGTAGGTGGGTATGAGGTAGGAGGTTTTTTATACAAAGCCCTCGCAACTACCCATGCAAAATGTAACGAGCCAGAAACAGACATGAAAGAGAGTGTGCTAAATTCTCAATCCCATGCAGGAATTGAACCCAGAACCTTCCAATTCAAACTCTTGAAGTATGACGCCCCATCATCACTCAGTGAATATATACATATATGGGCACACGCATCCCACATTTGATATCAATACATGTATACTGACACGAGGGCCTCTCTGGGAAATGGCAAACTGCGGAGCATTTTTTAACAAGCCAGATACAGACATGAAAGAGAGAGAGTGCTAAATCCAAAGCCCCAGGGATCAGGATGTCTCGATGGGCTCGAAACCCCATGGTCAACTCTATGTCTATGTCATATAAAGGTAAACATCTTGGATTGACAGTATCACTTAGAATAAGTTTACATTAACTTACATGTAGCAGCCCTGGTACCCATGTTGCAAGCCTATATACATATGTTTGTTTCTAATTTTAGCAACAGGTCCAAAATGAAATTCGATGCAGAAAAATGTGGTAAATATTTTGACGATTTTTAGTCAATTTACTTGACCACAGGTCCGCAAAAATCAGCTAGATCTCTTTGCATATACATCCTTGTACGCTACATGTAACTTCATGGAGTCAAACGATGTAAACAACCCATATATTCTAGATTTACTGTAAAATTATAATGAGATGAATTTGAGGAAATTTATGGGATACCACCGGAAAGCAAACTTTGCGAAACGGAAATACAATTTTTAATTGGAAATTAAACTGGTATTTCCACTAACATTCATATTAATTCATTTTTATCTAACAATAATTTAATAGATATGCTTGTAAAAATATGTAACAGTCGCAAATATACACTACAAGTATAAATATCAAAGTCTGATAACATTAACAAAGTTTGCCACTTAGATTTTCAGTGATTACTCCATTGCATTGTGGGAAGCTGCTGTCTGCTAATATCACATCTACATCAATAATCTGCAAAATGCTAAAGCCCATTTAAAGCAGCTATATAGTTTAACAAAGGTAGAATTTGAACAGAATACAATATAAACCTTAACGTTTTTTTTAAAATAGATAAAAACAAAATCTTATTTTCATCCAGCATAAAACAGAGATAACCCCCACTTACTATACTATTTGCCCATACGCCATCTTTAGATTGATTCCTCATCAATCTAAAGATGGCTATGTGCAAATATAGTAAGCCCCCACAAGGTGATGAATATTGACTGCCCTATCAACCATGCTTGGCACAGATTTGCTTTACAATGTATTTGTAAGAATTTGGTGAGCGTTTTGGCAAAACAAAAATAAATCACCAAATTAAAAATTCGCCAAAATCCCCAAGAATTTGACATTTTTTGTTTGGTGCACTTATGGTTAAATGTACCAAGATTTCTGGGACTGTTTAGATTTAGAAATATTCAAAGATATTGTTAATCAACAATACTGACAATGAGGATCTTGAAATGAAATAGATATGAGATTCATCCCCTGCCCTTGAAGAACCGCCAAATCAAATAAACACCAATATGCCTGATATCCCAAAATCGCCAAATGAAGTAATACACAAACTTTGCTTGTATGATTGATGTCACACAAATCACATTATTTTGAGATTATGTCACACAATTTCAAGCATACATGTATGCGTTAAGTTCAAATTTTTGACAGGGTGCAAATATTTTCAGCAAGGTGGCACATAATTTTCAAATTGGTGCAGTATGCCTGTATGCAGTTGCTCTAACATAATGGAGTGAAAAACTGCAGTTGATGATAACCCAAACATACAGAAGACAACTTTCATTTATTCATTTATATAATATTATTATTGCAAGTAATTGACATAAGGTACAATGTTAATGGATACATAGTCAAAAATGCTGTACAAAATATTGATTACAGAAACAATTACACCAAAACCTACCACAAATTCAGTGAAAACAATTGTGCACACACTGTTACATTTTATATTAGAGGTTGTGAAAAAAACATTTCAGCAAATATAAACAAATTATCTTTGAGACCTTGGTACAGCATTTTTATCGAAGGGCAATATTCAAAAATACATGATGATAGATGAACAGATATACTGATATAAGTGAAATCTTTGTGCATCTTAACCAGATATAAACTAAAATACAAAATGTTATATGTATATAATTACTATGGACTAAAATGCAATTTTGTACAATGTTATGATTGAATGTTTATATACAAGACATGTTCACCACACTGTTAACAAGTGGTGCGCTTTCTCTTTATTCATGGTTAATATGTACAGGACATCTTCAACAAAGGAAAAACATTAATATAGTATATGATATAGGAAATGGTACTACATGTACTTCAAATTGAAAATAGATGTGCCATTATAGCCCAATATTAATTTGGACATGTAATACATGAGCCTATTAGGATGTTAGGCAGTTAGGCAACTGTATATAACATATTTTACAGATAGCATAAAATATGGTATAATTGAGGAAATGTATACATCCAGCATAGTTTTTCTATCACACTTGTACAACTGTCAGACTGTCCTTTAATCTGTTTTGGAAACATTTCACTTTTTAAAAACATTTCAAAAAATACATATTGTTTCATCAGTTCATAGCAAATCTCAAGAAAAAATGTTCTTCTAAAAACGATTTTTTACATCATACACCTATACACCACAGTCTACTATTGCAAAAACTAAGAAAAGTGTTCTTCGAAATGTTATCTACATTATTTCCCAAAGTCTTCTGTACTATATATCTGATATTCTTCAAACACATACACACTTAAAAATCAGCAGTAATTCCTTAATTTTGTCAAGTCAAATGTTGACATAGTCATATAAAAGTGAAGTGAAAGTTCATAACAATAACAATGCAAAATATAATAGTACTAATAATATTAATTTAACTTGTTTACAGTCAAATCTATGGGTGAGAGGTCTGTCGAAATCAATTAAGAATAGATAATTATACGATTATGTTTATAACAATTATTCATACATGATGGGATTTTGAAACTGTTTAATATGGACTGACATTGTGATCTCACTCCCCAAGAATCGTTTTCCTCAAGCTAACGTTGAGCTAGTGGAAGGAACAATACTAACATAGCCATGCAAAATATTCAAACTCTCATTTCAAACTTACACAAAGGGATGTAGAGTAGAGACATTCCATGACAATACACATTACCAAAGGTCCAAATTCATTTTTTCAAAATAATTATTTCAATGCCATACAGAAGGGGTTAACATAGAGTATTAAAGTGCACATGTAATTGCACAGATATTTCTATAATATTCAATTTAAATTATGTACAATTTTAACATAACTGAATTTGACAGCATGAGGCCAATATCATTTTATATAATGTATAGATACTAATAATACATATAATACATAAAGGATATGATGATCAACTAAAATTATCTACATTAGTGAAGATATAAAACACATGAACACCTGTGATCTTGTGGCTTAATCTCAATTTTCATTACTCATGTGACTTCCCATTGAGATGAATGAAAAGTGCCATTCAATAGGCATTTGACAAATCAATGCATCCTATTGAAAGTATAACTTGTGATATCATAGTAACATTACACACATATTTTTAAGTGCTATAAGTGAGCAACAGTGTACTCCTGGTAGTTTATCCCCATAACACTAGAGTTGTGAGCGACCTTGTTCTCCTTTAATACATGATCAATCTTAGTAACTGTGATTTCATTATTTTTGATCATTTTAAATTTCATCTTAATTTCATGAAATTTTTACATACAACAGTGTTCTCATGTCAAGCAGTTTTGCATCAGTGATCTCCTGACATTTGTTATCTCCTTGTTGTTGAGATAAGCAACTGTATTCCTGACTGAACACACCGACCGACACATAGAAAGCACAACTGCTCCTACTCCACAATGCAATCTGCATTTAATTAAAGTGTCTCCTCATCCAAGACATTATCAGACAAAATGATTGAATAAGCATTGATCAGGCAAACCCTGTACTATTAATCAGTTCAAAAAGTGAACAAAATTGGCAACTCTTGTAACGTCTTGTTCATTGGTTTCTTGTTCAACAGTGATACAGATGTTCAATAAATTGTGTGTGACCTGAAGATGGAGTGACGTCGTCATCAGCCAAATACTTATGCCATATTAACAAGGACATACTCTGACCTCTGGTATAAGAACAATCTACAGCCTAGAAGCTATGTCATACAGCCAGACACTGATAGCAAACCACTTAGTGCTGATGTCATACAGCCTAACTCTGTTGTCCAACTACTTAATACCTATGTCATACAGTCATACAACCTAGCAGTGTAATCATTTAGTCTAGCATTGACTGTGGTTAAAGTTCCTCATAAGTGATACAAGGCACGTGGAAGGTCCAGCCTGACGTAAGAATGGATGTTGCAGCAGCTCAAATGCTGTGGCTCGGGATGATGGTTCACGAACTAGCATCTTGTCTATGAAACCTTGTAACCGTGGAGACACCTTGAAATAAATATTTCACATGTTTTATGATTGAGAACTATTACAGTTCATCTTCACATGATTTATTAAGAGCTTTTGACACATACTTTTATCTAAATTGTACAATTAGATCCTGTGAGTAAAAACCATTTCCCATTTCATAAATACCTCCACTGTACAGTAAAACCTGTCTTAGTGAACACCTCTCTCTAGTGAACACCTGTCCCTAGTGGACACCCTTCCTACGCACATAGTCCACTGACTTCTGTATAAATTACCCTCTCTCTAGTGAACACCTACCTACAGTGAACGTTTTTTCTTGGCAAAAAAATGTTCACTATACACAAGTTTTACTGTATTATTGAACAGGATACACAATGTCAGATATCAGCTAATAATAGGATTTTCTGTACCATACCTGTCCAGACAATTCAAAATGATTTAACAAATTTTACTTTCTGAAATACTTCTAGTACATAGTACATACCCGATGAGTATTTTTGAGTTTAGGGGGTGGCATATCACGTATGCGTCTCATGGCTTGCAGGGGTGGCTCATTAAAGAATGGGGGTTCACCATCCACCATCTCAATCACCATGATTCCAAGTGACCACACATCAACCTAAACACAACATACACATACACCTTATTATAAATTGGTTCAAAATGGATTTAATTTTTAACTTTAAGTCATGAAGTACAAATATTTCTCATAACCAAGATTAGATATGAGGTTATACAATGGTTGATTCTGTTTATTGTGTTTATACTCAAGTTAATATATCATATACTCTAAAGAGTATAACAGTATACAGAATCAACCATTATTTGATATTATTATCCCACCCAAGTGACCTTATACGTCATAATTACACACACGCCATCTTTCAATCAAGAAAAAGTTAATCTAAATTAAGCAGTTGTATATCAAGTTGAAGCATTGTATACGGTGCCCAGGAGTTGTATATGCTATCCAGGAGATGTATATTGTACTCAAGAGTTGTATACGATGAGTGTTGGTTTTACATTGCAGTTATGCGATGCTATTATACAATCATTTAAAGCACTCAAGGTGATTTCGATCACTGGCGTGAGCATATTTGTTTGTAGTTTTATATTTTGACAAAAAAACTGCCGAAGTGTGATCAAAAGAATGTATAAATTACCTCTGGTCCATATGGGAGCCTTGAGATGACCTCAGGAGCCATCCAGTAGGGGGTGCCAACCAAAGATTTCCTCTTGGGTAGTTCAGCTGAGACTTGGGCACAGAACCCAAAGTCAGATAATTTAACCTAATAAAAATATTTTCATTTACTTCAAAGGTGTAAAGTGTGAATTTCTAAAATGTTAAACTTCTTGACCAAAGGTGAGGATTACCTTGATTGATCTTTCCTTTAATGACAAATACAAAAAAATAATAAATAAAATAAAAATATATAAAATAAAATATTAAACCATGTGTTATGTTTGTGGTCTTCTCACTAGCCCCTGTATAAAAGCCAGAGAAAGAAAAGAAAGGTTACCTTTCCGTCTTGTGCCAGGAGTATAGAGTCTGACTTGATGTCTCTGTGTATAACACCATGTGAGTGCAAGAAAGCTAGAGACTTCAGCACAGATTTACATACTGTAGCAATCTGCTGTTCATCCATTCTACAATAAATCAAATATTCTTATAATAACCATAACTCTCCAAAAATGAAACCAACCTCAGAATGCACAATAATATGCTTTATACGTTTTATCTACCCATACCACTTAACAGGTTTTACAGTTCAATTTATATCTAGACATTTGTTAAGTCACAATCATGTATATTGTCAAAAGTAATATTAAATACAGGGTGTTTCATATGTAGTTATAATACAATTAACAATTGCTTCCCAGTTCATAAAATTTATTTAATTATCTACTAAAAGTAAGCAATTTTTTTTTATAATTCTAAAATGAAAGGTACATAATGTATTACCTTGAATGTGTGACAATGTCTGTGAGTGCTCCTCCTTCCAAGAATTCCATTACCACCCAGAGTTCATCCTTCACCAGGTAACTGTCAAACATGTCCACTATGTTAGGGTGGTGGTAGTCTCGCATTATTACAACCTGAAACAGTTCAAAATTATCATTCATTTCACTGGCAATATCATGCTAAATTAGTATGTACTAGAATAATGGTTTTGGGATATTAGGATTTTCCCTTTCTTCACTGACCATGAGCTTACACAATCTATTCATATCTACTTTTCAACATTTACCAATATAAGGTCCAAGACATATTTGATATGATAGGAATATTTTTCATACAATATACAGTACTGTAGATTGGGTTAATTTGGCGCCCGCTTTAATTTGGCGAATTTGGCGAAATTAAAAAATTCGCCAATATAAATCTACGCCAAAATATAGAATGAATCCCCGGGAATTATCTAGGGTATTTCGTCCAGTGTATCTAGGTCACTTCCGGTTTAGTTTTATCCAAAAATATGAAAAAATGTCTCTCATAAATTGGCTCAGAACTGGTCAGTCACTCATTAACACTCAGGGAAAACTAGAAAGGAAAAGCGCGGTATAGGAGCAGCATCGATCGAGGGGCAAAATGTAAAGGATGATCTCACAAATATGTACAAACGTGGTGAATATCGCCATTGATCCTCAAAAGATAAAATGAACATAGCCAAACATGCCCATTTACATGATAATTCGCAAACAGCGGGTAAGTTTAACAATTTTTTTTGCATATCCGCCAAATTAAATAGCCGCCAATATGCCAAAAATGGCAAAATCGCCAAATTAAGAAGCGCCAAATTAACCCAATCTACAGTATACATAAGTTTGATTATTTAAAGATATCAAAAGCTCATTTATAATATCAGTGCCATACCTCATTAAAGAGCAGCTCCCTTCGTTGCTGTTTACGCAGATCCATTTTCTTCACAGCGACTTGTTTAGCTGTTTGTTTATCATGAGCTATCCACACAGTCCCTGTAGAGCCTTCCCCTATCTTAACAAACTTTTCATACATGGCTCGAGGATCTCCTGGGCTGACTACCATCTGGAGGGCAGCTCGAAACTGAAATCATAATCCATTATAAGAAATCTTCATCTGACTTGTATCTATTTAAATTCCCTATTGTGAGCTCAGCTGGGACGCCTGGGAGTCAGAAGAGGGTTTGCTATACTTGAGTAATATTGATGACAATGTAACACAGTTTCATTTGGATGGAAATGTACATGGACATTGTGCTTTTCGTTTCATTGACTCCTATGTTAGAATTAAGTCATTACAATTCTAAACATAGAAATCTAAAAGTATTTGTTATTCCAAAAATTCTCATAATAAATTTTACAGTCCGTTCCTTTTTGCTCAAAGATTCAGATGTCTGGGAGTTGGGGTTACATGAAGTTGGCAGTTATGATGTTAATTTGTTACGTTCAAAGTAAACACTTTACAAGATAACCATTCATCACTGAGCTTTAACCAGATGAACATGTGCTACCTGTCTAAGTGAGTTACAGTAATAGGCCATCAGGTAACACTTACTCCTTTTTCAACTGAAATTAGTGAGCCAGTGTGATAACCTTACCTCACACAAAATCTCTCACAATTCTGTACTATACAACTATCATGTAAGAAACATTTCTTTCATTAATTTGTTATTAATTCTACATTGAAAATGCCATGCTGAAATTTATTTTTAAATACTATACTGGACAATACAAATACAAAAATAAAAGTTCTACAGTTGCTACAACATGCAAATTCATCCATATCTTAACCAAAGCATTTCTATCAACTAAGTTCGGTTATTTAAATAAAGCTTTATCATATGACAATAACACCTCACATCTGAACACCATTTTTCAGTTTTGAACTTTTTCCAACATGATCTGCTCTTGGTGTATCTAGCTATTTTTATCTTTTTTTATATAGGTTATTGTTATTTATTTCTATATAATTCAACATAATTATTTACATAGATTGTGAGGGGCCGAGGCTACATAGCTAGGCTATTTTTATCTTTGAAGGTCATCTTCAATAACTGGAAAAATGACTCTTTCAAACCCCAAGGTTTATAAACCTACTAAAAGATAATAGCATATAGAGAGTTTAGATAAGAGATTAACTTCATAATTTTAGCTAAAACAGTCGAAATGGTGTTCAGACTAGAAAGGTTGTATGATCAAACCTGTTCATGGGACAGTCGACTTTGTTGTTCGGGGTAAGGGCCCTTGGTATTTGTTTGTGATGAAGGTGAATGTGGGGGCTCTTGTAGGTGAGGGCTTTGTTGTGGAGGCCCCTGCATGTGAGGGCTTTGTTGGGGGCCATGGTCTCCTGGGGAACGAGGTGGTCCCTAACATAAACAAAGCATGCACGCTAAACCATGACATCATAAACAATAGCGTATGAAGCACAATGTGGAAAGCACATTACTAGAAAGTAACAACTTAAACAATATACTTATAAATTCTAATTAAGATTTTGCCCAAATATAGAAACGGGCATGAAGGAGGAATTTTTCCTATATACCAGAAACAAACAAATAGGATCATGATTTATTAATACATGAATCATCTTCCATTGCATTTTTACAAAATCATAATTCATGAATTATAAATCCAAGATTCTTTTTCAGGAATGTACCCCTGACTAACCCGACATCTACAAAGCACACTGAACTTTATACATTGGCTTCAACAGGCTATAACATAAAATCAACTCAAACTTGCACCATTTCCTAATTATAATAACAACATGCTTCTTGGTGAACAACCACTACACATGCATGAATCACTGTGCATGTGCTTAGTTAAATTTAATATCAATCATCAAGCAGAATTATGTGAAACGATATTCCTAAACTTCATTCTTAACATTGAGGATTATATCACAAGGTAGGACTGACTTAATACGATGCCTCCATCTTATTTGCTAACATGAATGGTGATGTAACATTACCTACTATGACATATATAAGCACTTGGAGGACTATGGCACAATAACATATTGATGTAAGATGAAATTAATGTATCATATTAAGTGTTCTTCCCAGCACTTGATGCTTTAATGCTGGAAAGACCACTGAATATGTAAAATGGCTACAGGTGTACATGTATAGGGATTCACTCACCCTATCATATTGCTGGGAGGCTGGGTAACGTGCCCCTTCAGGGAATCTCTGGCCCCCATCTGGCATGTCATGTGGGGAGCGGGGAGGTTGTCGTTGGCGCTCTAGGGTTGACATATTTGGATTGTTGCCATTTACGTTTGGTCCCCCTGGAATGGGGTATGGGTAGCCTTCCCTGGGGCTACGTGGTCCTTGTTGATTGGGAGGGAGGTTAGAGCTTTGAGGTCCACTTCTAGGGTCATGGGGGTGAAGATCCCTGGGGGCTGTATTATAACGGGGGTCAGTGTGACGCTCTTGGGGACGATTATGATCCCTTGGAAGAGAATTGTAGCTTTGATTGAATCTAGGATCAGCTTGATGACCTCTAGGATCACGTGGATCACGAGGGATATTTCTAGGATCATTTCTTGGATCCTGTCTCGGATCCATCCTTTGATCCTGTCTGTCTATTCGGGGATCCTGTCTTGGATCTTGTCTCATTTGATCTCTTGGATCTCTGTGCTGTTGTCTTGGATCATGGGGATCCATCCTTTGATCAATCCTTGAATCTCCTCTGGAGTAAGGATCATTATTGTAATTGTCCATATCCCTACGTTGAGGGTCCTGTCTGTAAGAATCATTTCTATTAGGATCCTGACCAAACCCTGATGGGGGTCTATTTTGTGACACTTCATGTTCGTCTAAAGACGGCATATTTGGTGACATTTCTTTGCGCATTCTGTGTTGTGTTGGGGGACTGGACCGTAAGGAGTTTGATCTGGCGACTGTCATACTACGGGGATCTTCAAATCCACCATTCATAGATGATGTAGAGGTACCACGTATAATTTGCTGAAACAAAATCCAAACAATCGTAAAGACCAGTTTAATGAATTACAAATTACATCCATATAGACCACACATATTTCAATCAACAATCAAAAATACCTTGTACATCACAACTTTTAAACAATAATTAGTTTACCAAATGAGATCCATCCCAAACCAACATTTTCTTCCTTCTTGATGTCATGTTAGATGTATAAAGGTTTTAATTGGTGCACTGTCACAACATCATGATGCCTCTTGATTATAAAGCAGAGATACATTAGCCAAGCACACACTATGTTCAGTACAAGGCCTCCAGGCCCTCATGCCACAACATCCTTCAATGTTGCCATAAAACCTCAGGTCAATGTGCAATATACCAATTAAAACAAATGTTTGTTTACATTTGTTGAAGATAATAAATGACTGGAGATTATCATTATGAGACCCCTCATTTTAGTGTCTATAGACATTTAACTGAAGGATCTTTCAGTTTAATACCTACTGGGAATGGTGAGTGAGAGAAGAATAAAAATCTGTGATATTCAGCATCAATAAGATATTCAGCATCAATATGTTATTCAGCATCAATATGTTATTCAGCATCAATATGTTATTCAGCATCAATATGTTATTCAGCATCAATATGATATTCAGCATCAATATGTCAATCACTACTTTTGAAATAATTACATTAAATGTATAAAGCCTGTTTTTTTAGTTTATCCCATAGATTTTAAGTATACATCTAAGATCTTTTCACATTATCATCCAATGCACAAGTGAACGATTTTTCAATTCAATGGTTCTCATTTTGAGAGACATGTGTCCAAGAAGTATTTGATGACACGATTTGAACAACTAAATAAGGCTTGGCTTTAGTATTTTTTGGAATGTTAACTTCAATGTACAATCATCGAATGTCAAATCATTAAAAAAAACAATGAATTTCTCTGCAGGCTTCCAAGAGCTATTGTCACAAAAACATTTTTATGTACACCAGAGACACATCCACAAGATGTAGAATTGATATGTGTATTACAATAAATGTTAGCAGTAAATTATTTTATTTCTCATGGCAACCCACAACATACACCCTCCTAAATCAATGTGGTGGAAGACTGCAGCACAAAAATTACCTAGATCAAAAATATTGAAGGTAATTCAAAAAACAATAAATAATGATAGACTAAAATGAAATTTCAGTTTAGTTATAGTTCAGTTATAGTATTCATGATTTTTGCTTAATATTTTTAAAACTTTGAACTTACTGCATACCTATATTACCCATTTATGGTACACATTAGGGAGTTTAAGCTTGCAATGTTTTTCACAACCTAAACGTGAAAGGAAAATATTTAAGCAATGCATTTGTATGGGTGATTGGTCATAAGTATAGGTTGGCGTTTCAATTTTATATGCAAGCTTAAACTCCCTATTAATACAAATACATACCTTGTCCTGTCCTTGTAGTGCTACAGGTGTGACATAAGCAGGATCTACCATTGGTTTACGTCTTGTGGTATCAGCCTCCACAACACTGGCCCACTGTGGAGGTAGGCCAACATATTTATGTGAATTAGAGTCAAACCCTGTGTGGACTCTATGTTCAAAGTCTTGAGGCAAGGATATCTCTGGCCGTTTCTTCTTTTTGCTTCCAAACATTGTGCCTTTTAATGTACCCCTGAAAATACAATTAGATACAATCAAAGTTTTGTTAAAAGAATGGTTTTAATTGTTTTACTATCCCAGAGAATGCTGTAAGTCTCATCATATATTCTACAAAGTCTACTCTAGCAACTTCGCAAATCTAAGCTGCAGAATACATTCCCTTTTTAAGATGCGTCTGGGGTTCAGTTTCCCCTAAAATAGTGAAAATATCATCAAATATCCTACCTACGAGTACATTCAATTATCTATTTTTCATATTGCTCTCACTTTCATTGGTTCATTGGTTTTAGTTACTATTTCTTACCAATTTGTAAGCAAGTTCATTTGTTTCTAAAACAGTTAAATCTAGTATGGTCTAAATTCACCCTATATAGCAACATTCCCTACAAAAATATATCTGGCAACTTCACTTCTACAGTATATGTAATCAAATCTGACAAAGACAAAACAAGACAATTATTCATCCAAAGAATATAAGTTCAATCCTGAGATAGAGAGACTTGATGTACATGTAGGCAATTCAGTAGTTTTCTAAATAAGGCACTGTGCTGTATTATATAGATTCAGGGCTAGGGTGGCATGTAAGCTATATTCCACATCTTGGCAGCAGGATGATTTGACCTCAGAAACAGTTAACTCTTATAGTATTTGGGCTTGGCTCTGATTAATGCTAAAATAATGTGAACTTACAAAATCTATGAATATCTCATATTGAATCAACATATTCTAAAATTACTGCAGTATAGATTTGGTGTCAAATATACGAAGAATACAAAATATGGGATGTCACCAATTAAGAAGAATAAGTGACATCTTCAAGTTGACTGACTCCACTGAACAACAATATGGACAAGACAAGCCACCAATGTGCTAGCGTGCTAGAATGTACATATAGGATGTGAAAGATATTGAATTTCACAAAATATGGCATGAAGTATTTTCTCTTGTTACGACCTGCTGTTAGTATAAACTATTGGCAGTGCTTGCCATCATGTCATATGTCACACAAACAATATGATTTCAACACATATACATAGAGAACTAGATCGAGAAATCTTTAAAATTGATTTAATTAAATATAGAAGATACACACATTTCCAAAATTTCAGCATGTACTGATAACCTGATATTCCTTAAGATAGTAGAAAAGTATTTAGTTTAGCTAAAGGGGAACTGTGGTATGGTTAAAATAATATATCTTGCTATTCTCCATATACGAGCTTATATCATACTTATAACAAAACTCTGCCATTATACAACAGAAACAAAAATCATATGCAATGTTCTCATTTTCCATAAAAAACATTCTGCTTCAATTCTTTCCAGAGAGTCATAATCCTAAAGGGCTTTCCCTTGAACTGCTGAAAAGTAGTTTTATCACCCATCTATAAAATATAAACCCCCAGTAAAATGCAACACAAAGAACAGCTGTAGAAACAAGATCATAAAACATGACATAAGATATGTGAGAGGTTAAAATACAAGTTGAAGGGATGTTTTACAATTTTACCATGTTCATGTGCAAGTGTTCTGTCTATGATCACAATTTGAAAAATGTATTTCTAAGTGTCCAGACCACTGCCCTTGGCAATCATCAAAGGAAAAAGGAGTATGTATTCTCATGAATTACAAATACATGTATGGAGAAATACTTCAAAATAGCCTAAAACATATTTTTACAAAATATAATATCTAGTGTAAACTTGGATGTAAATTGGATCATATACAAATTATATGCCATCTAAATTAAGTATCTAAGTAGCATCTTATGCAGCTCTTCAGTTTCAATTAATAATTTTTCACCAGAAAATGCCAACAGTATAAAATATTTAAGTTTCATTATTCCAGCTCCCTCACTTTTATTTAGGGGTTTTAATTCTCTATTATATCTATGAGCAAATCTCAAGCATTGTTTTTATGATTGGTAAATAAAGATTGCAATTCCCGATAACTCACAGCTGCTGCAAAACTATTGAAGAAACAGTCATGTAATTTAGTATATACTAAATATGGCAAGTAAATGTTTTTCATAATTCAGAAATCCATATGTTCTATCCATGTTCCATCAGGAAGGCAAATTTAATAGTTAAAAGATACATGTTAAAAATTGATCTTCATGAAAATGAAAGCATTTGTGATGTACTTATATTGTGTAGCTCTTGTACATTTTGTAGTTTTCAATTCAACAGGTTTTACTACATCCATTCATCTTTTCATGAAAATATGTTTTCACACCTGTGAATCAAGAAATCTTGTAATTTTGCTGTAATAAAAAAAAGAACACTGAAAGGTATTTGATATTACATAGTTCAGCTGATACAGATCCTTCAGGTGTGATGTTTGTTTATTTAGGGTTGTTTATGTTGTAAACAAAATTGAGTGCAACATTTGAACTGTGCATAACAAGATGGCATGGTATGTACAGCAGAGCATCAGTCATTTCCAAGGCCTTCAGAATATGATCAAAAATAGACATAACAAATCTGAACAATATTTTATTCAGAATACAATATACATGTAGATGAAATAAGAATTCTTGGGATTAAGATGTAAGAGTAAACAAAAAAAAGAAGAGTAAAGATGAACATAAATGAGGTTCAACATATTGGGATTATAATGGGTTGTATTTTCTGTATGCTTCTGAAAATTCTTGTATGTTGCTTTAAACTCATATGTTTTGCCCTTTCAATTATCTAAAATTTTATTCTTTCCAAATTTAGTTTTCCTTTGTTAGGCAGATATATGTGCCACTCAGCTTTTTACAACATAAATATGCATTTGAATGGTGAATGTCACATTCAAGTTTCTGGTAAAACATGGTAGCCTACATGTTAAACAATGATGCAAATAAATTGAAAGCTGACCTAGCCTAAACCTATTGACGTAAACAGCCTGATAACTCCCATCATTAACAATTCAGGTCACACCAAAACCATTATAACCTGACCCTAACTGCCAATTAGACTTGCCTCAAGTCCACATGATGAAGTTGAAATTGAAATTGGAGATGTATGAGTATACAAGTGAAAAACAATCTTATTTGTGCCCTTGTGCTATCAACAGTAAACATCTTTAATAAAGTGCATAGTTTTCTTACTGCCCATTTTGTAAGATGGGAACCCAGACGTGTACTCTGTTTCTCTTTTGCAGAAGAAAGACAAAGATGAAAAAGGCTAATAACACTAGTTTGAGCCATGTGAGTCAACATGAGTTAATACCTGCAGAATATTTTGATAAAACTTATAAAACTTCAAGTTATACATTGATACAAACTTGAACTATGTTCACCCTTTAAATATTTCCAACAAACACTTGGGGAAACACTCACTGATGTTGATATATGTAGCATGATACAGTTAAACCTTGATTTGGGAATACCTCTACAATAAATAACTTTCCTACAGAAGCACTCTTTTTGAACACTATTCCATTCATTCAAATGTGAACACATCCTGAAAATATGAACACCTCATAATAAGAACACTTTTAAGAGAGAGAAGAGATATACCATCCTCGAGGAGCACAGAGCTCCAAAATCCAGAAAATATTCTTGGTGAACGGATTCTGGACACGTGCTGAATAAAATGTTCACAAAGAAAGGTAGTTGTGTAGTGATATCTGCTGCTTAGTGAAGTGGGGTGCTTTGCTTGGGTCAGCTATTAACCTAGCAATTATCTCATTCTACTAGACTTTAATTAACATAGTTGATAAGAAAGTTAGATTGTTCGTGGAACCTTTACGAAAACCCAAACATCTTTTTCCTTCTCATTTTAGTCTAAATCTCTGTTTATTACATTTCCTACATTGGAAAGTAAAATATCTTCTATTTCAAGCTGCAAAGGAAAATGCTATTGATCTCATGATTTTCATTATAAATAGATGGCGGTAGCAGTTTTGACTGGACTAGAACAGCATTACTACAGTTTATTCCTAAACATTTCCAATATTACTAGGATGTAAAACTCCATTGGCATTCAACTTCATGATCTTGTTGACATGCAGATTCTGTTAAAACCGTATATAATTATCATCCTAAAACCTCATAAAAATGATTTCTACCCAATAAGAAATTTCTCTGAGTACAGACAGGACATATTTTACAAGTTCCAATCTTACATTAGTAAGTAAATCATATTGAAACAGGACTTATACAACTGGTTCCCACCATATATGGGAAATTAGGCAAGATTTCTTTGGCACTTTGTGTACAAACATTGAGTCCTGGCATTGCTCATTGCTTATTTGATTTGAAGTGATGACTCCATCCATGTATCACTCTCTACCTCTTGCCTATCAATAAAATGATATCACAGCTTTAACTGCTAGTTCATCATAGGTATCATATGCAATCATTTTAGTTTTGAGGTCAACAAAGATGGGTACTATATAAAGCAAAGATAGACCATCTAAAGATAAGTGAGTTATGGAGTCTGCAGCACAGATGTCTACCTGCTCTCATTATATACATCAATGTAACATATGAACACTGCAACACTTCATTAATCCAACTATATGTTCTGAATATTTACCTGTATAATAGTTTCACCATCATTCATATTAGGATATCAGATCTACATGTAGAACATATTTTATCCACATGGCCCCTATACAGATATCAACAAATACTGTTAGACCTCAGTCTCAGACATTTATTAAAGGATGTTCAGCCCAGGGATCAATAAATTGTAGATGAATGTCTTGTATTAAGACTTTGAATCAGGGTGGTAGCTTAAATTCTAAGGCCAGGATACAAGACACGAGTCCATAAATAAGATTTTGTACAATGCAATTTCATATATACAATACAATTCCAATAGAATGTTTTGCAATTTTTCACTCAGCTGGTCTGCCAACTTGAAATTATGAAATTGATTTAATACTTGGAAAAGTAAATTCAAACGTAATACACCATACTTCCATTCTACTGAATTATATAAAATCCTGGAAAAAAGGCAGTTTATTCAATTTTTGGGTGAAAATAGAGTATACAGGTCATTGCCATGATCATTTTCT